TGAGCCAATCTTCAAGCTATTGTGCAAAAATAACTAATGAAATGAATTAATGATTATCAAGAAGTCTTTGAAAAAATCAAGCAATATTTATAAAATCTTCTAGTTTTCGTGCTACTAATCCATGAAATACCTACTTCATGTATTTGATAATGCTTAATGGATCAATAAGTTGTGTACTAAGACAACATGATGACTAGAAAAAAGAAAGCATGTCATTTATCGTTTGAATAAATAAATAATGGTGTGAATTTCTAAATAAAGACATATAGTGTTATTTGAATAAAGAGAATCATCATAAGAGAAAAATTGAACCATGTTATTTAATGGTGTTTCCAAAGTATAACAATATGCAATTGAATTTACAAATAATATAGTAAAATACAAAACATGTGTTATAGGAATTCAAGTAGTTACTAAGTTAAAATTCTTGAGTATACGGTGATTTAGCCTTGATCAGTCATTAGTTATAAGGCAAATAGAAGACTTGAGCTATCAAATCAATCCTTTATCAGCCATATAAAGGAATTGATAGAACAATTTCATTAAGTCACTTTTGATTCCATTTTGTAAGAAGATGATCAATTAGCAAATGCATTAGCCATATTAGCATCCAAGTTCAAATTAAGACATGAAAAGGACAAGTCATTTATAAAAATCCAACTTCATGATCAACTTGTTTATTGCTAGTTAATAGAAGAAGAGTAAGATGGACAATCATGATACTGTGACATCAGGGAATATATCAAAAGTAAAAAATACGTCATGAGCTTTAAAGAATGGTAAAAGAACCTTAAGGAAATTGATAATGAATTTCTTTTTAAATGATCAAATAATTTACAAACAAAATCATGATATGATCGTTCTTAATTGTGTAGATAGTAACAAAGCACATAAAATTATCAAAGAAGTTCACAAAGGTTCTTCTGAGACCCATGTAAATAGGCATGCCTTGCAAGAAAAATCTTAAGGGCTAGTTATATTAGCTAACTAAAGAGACTGGTTGTTTTAAGTATGTGAAGAAATGTCACAAATGTCAAACTTATGCAAGTAATGTCAATGTTCCACCAACATTATTAAATGTCTTGTTAGCATTATGGTCATTTTTTTTTCTTATGTAATGAATGAATGTCATGGGGCTTATTGAATTGAATATGTCAAATGGGCACTATCTCATTATTGTAGCAATTAATTATTTTACCAAATGAGTTGAAGCTTCTTTGTATACTAATGTGACAAAAAATGTGATAGTAAGATTTATTAAAAGGGAACTAGTATGTCGATATGACTTGCCAAATAAGATCACACATAAAGCCACCAATTTGAACATCAAAATGATTTCAAAGTTATACAATAATTTTAAGATTCAAAATCACAAGTCTTTTCCATATTGCTAAAAATTGAATGGAGCAATTAAACTAGCAAGTAAAAATATTAAAAATGTCATTAAAAAAATAGTGGTAACATATAAGGACTAGCACATAATGTTATATTTGCTTTACATGGAGATAGTTTGTTCCCACATTAATTGGGGCAACTCCATTATCCCTAGTATACATGATAGAGACAATCTTTTTCATTGAAGTTAATATGTCTTCCCTAAGAGTGTTGATAAAAGCTAAATTAGAAGAAACATTATGTGTCTAAACTTGTTTTGATTAGTTAAACCTCATTGAGGAAATAAAATTAAATACAAATTTAAGAGTGTACTTTCAAGAGTTTCAAGAAAAAGATTTAATACTTAAGAAGATTCTCTTTATTCAAAAGGATCATCTTGGTAAATGGGCTTTGAGTTATAAAGGGGCATTATGTTGTTAGGAGGAGACTTAATTCTTTATAGTAATAATCTTCCACATCTTGTGAACTATAATGTAGTAAAAAAAAAATTATGCTTGAGTAATAAAAAAAGAAAAAAGAAGACAAAACATGAGAAAAGCTTGCTAGGTTAAAAACTCAAAAAGGTGATGTAAGTGAAAATTAGAGTAGTTTGTTGGATTGAAAACTCAAAAGAGTAATTTAGACAAAGATTAGGGTCAAGTAAATTTATGCATTATAAATTATAAAGTTAAGCAATTGAAGCTCTTAGTCAAGATAATAAATACTTTTAAAATCTAGGATAATTGAAGTACTTGAAGTCCTAAATTGGGCAATTGAATCTTTTGAAGTTTTGAATCGAGATAATCCATGTATTTAAAGTTCTAAATTTGGCAATGTGTGTCTAAAACTTGAAACTAGGACAATTTTTTTTGTGGCTTACTAATGGCTAGTCAAGGTTATTAACATGTAATATTAGCATTATTCATCCAAAATACGTTCATCAAGTAGCTATGCACTTTTACTCTTTTACAAACCTTTAATTTTTGTTACACTTCTTTTAATGTATATGCTTATTTATCCACCAATGATCATTCATATAAATATATTATTATTTCTTAAATAAATAAAAATACTTTTTTTTGTCTATTGATAATTCATTATGTAGTTTGTTAAATGCATATTAAAAGGAAACATGCATTATTTAAAACATATAGTAATTGTTTAAATGAATTTAATAATAACAGAAAGCTCGTTTAGAGAATATTTAGTGAATCAAGACACCTAAGAAGTAGACTACATGCAACATGAAAGATTTCATACTAGACCAAAAAATTTAGTGAAAATCAAAGACAAAACTCATATCTAAGAGTATTTCTAATCGTCGCTCGCTGAAACTAGCCATAAATGTCACAAAAGCAAGGAGGGAGATAATAAATAAGGTAATAACGACATGCAGTAGGAGCATATGTAAAATCGTACTCCATGCAAGCAAATTAGATTTATTCATTGGATCACTCAAAATATACAGTAAAATGAAAGGAAATATCATGCATACAATTCTAATTAAGAGCCTTTAAACAGAAAGAATTTAAAGAATACACATACAAACACATATTTCGTGTATTCACAATAAAAAACACCTCCCACCTACCTTGGCTTGATTACAAGGAGTAAGAAGAGTATAAGCGTTTCCTATTGCTGAAGCAATGTTCTAGACTAGCAGCCCGCAAACTGATGGTGCAAATGACTAGAGAGTAGGGTGATGGACAAAGTGCACTTTAGAGGGTGCTATTTGGTTCCTCAGTTCTCCCTATAATTTCTCTCGTGTAGCATTTTTAAAAAAGCAAAAAAATCTAAAGCAATGAGTAATGAGTCTCCCTTTATAGGCATTCAGGGCGCAAGGCAAAGTGGAAGGTTAAAGGTTGTGGGTTTAGGTTTTCTCTTCCACACATTAATTTTATATTAGGTGTCATTAAGGGAGATACTCCACTAAAGTTTGTCCTTCTCTCTCCACTCCACAATGTTATTTATCTATGTGAAAATGTTGCAATCATTTAAGCATTCCACGAACTATTAATGCAGGGGCGATGTTTAAGGGAAAGAGATTTAGGTAGTGACAATATATTATAATCTTAATGGTAATTGGTGAACAAAATTTAAAATGGATAACTATAAGCAATATCGCTTCTCAAGGTATTTAAGAATGTGCAACTAGTCACAATAATTTAGGATAGTGAAGAGTTACTCATGCCACCATCTTTTGAGGTTCCAATGAAATTTGAATGCACGGGAAATGAATAATTTCTAAGAGAGTAATTCAAGGAATGTGTGGGTAATAATTATATTGACTCCAATGATGTTTTAAAGAGGAAAGACTCATGGAATGCTAAAGATTAAATGGGAAATGAAAAGCTTGTGGTTTATTCACGTCATGCCTTGAGAGGATTTTGGAGGCATTAACATAGTGGAAAATTAAATGAAACCGTTAGTAGAGAAGGATAGAGTCACTTGTGTCTTTGGTTTAACGAGTTTGAAAGGACTTCCTCTCTCTCCTCTACACTAGTCCGAAAATACTCAAAGGAGAAAGGACAATTTAATGCATGCAAATGAGCATGAGGCGCAAGTGCATGAGTTGACATGTATTTAAAATAAAATAAAAATTGAGGTTATCCAGGTAGATGTCATAGTTCTCATATAACATATTCTAAATACAGTCTTCATGTAGGCATAGAAAATTTATTATAAAAAAGAGGGGCGAAAAACATAATTTAACTCTTGCACTTAAATTAGAAACAAGACATATATACCTATACTAAAATGCCTTTATTAGTAATCATGCAACAATTAAACTTAACAAGGGTTGACGAAAATAGTTTCAACTTACGCATAAAAAAATAAAACAAGAATCAAGAAAAAATCAAGAAGAAATAATAATGACAATAAATTAAAATTAATAATAATTTTTTTCTTCACAGAAGAATATCAATTAGCACTAACTAAAGTTTAAGAATTAATTAAACTTTGAGAATGTTATACCTTGTAATTACCACATTAATTTAAGTAAGTCATGCATTAAACCTTGTACTTGTCATATACCAATTCTATAAAAAAGTATTTTTTTTATTGTTTATGTATTTGTTATAAGATTTAATTTAATTTAATTTTTAAATTTTATTTTATCACCTCATAAAAATAAAGAGAAAAATGAAATTAAATAAAATAGAATAAAAAATCAGCATCAAATTCGTATCACAAAAAGTAATAAACCAAAAATAAAAATATTCTACCTTGCCATGATAAAATAATAAAAATTCATTTTTACATTTCTTTTCTTCATTTCTTTGAACTAAATTTAGTTTTTGTTATTTCTTTTTTTCTTTTACCTTTCTAAATTTTTGAGTTCTGTTTTTACTCTTTCAATTTTTTATACAAGAATAATGTTTTTTTTAAATATGATATGAAAATTATTTTTCGGTGCTTTCAAAATTTTTATTTTTCTGTTAGACTCTTCTATTTCTCCTTATTATATTTCATCTTTAAGTATCTATTAGGATTAATGATTTTTTTTTAAATAATTAAATTACAAAAACAAAGCATTAACTTTAAAAAAAATAATATTCATTAGCATTTCTCAAAATTAAAAATATCTTTGGGCGTCTTAACGTGACGGAGAGCTGGCGGGGGATATGACACGCTGGACATGCAATCCAATCCGATTTTGATTTGGCAGAGCGACGAATCGATAGCCCCATCTCCGTCCCTCTGAATCTGAAAAAGTAAAAGTAAAAAACAAAACCCACACTCATCTGAATCTCATTCGGTAATCATTCACAACAAAAATATATATTTTTTTTAGAAAAAAAGAAACACAAGCGATCAATCGGAAAACGCAGAGAACAAAGAACAAACCCAAATCACTTCTTCATCTTTCCTTTGGTGTCTCTGTTAGGGTTTTGTTTTCTCTCTCTCTTCCATGGCCGAAGTCATCAACATGCCACCCGAATCTCTCGACCAATCCCCCTCTGCTTCCGCTCCTCCTCCTCCTCCTACCGCCGCCGATGATGATCTCCCTCCGCCTCCCCTTCCTCCGCCGTCGCGCCGCCGGGACCGCAGGGACGACCGCGATTTCGACCGCCATCCGAACCGCAGCCGTGGCGGCGATTACTACGACCGCGACAGGGACTTCAAGCGCCGCCGCAGCCCTAGCCCTGGCTACCGCGACCGCCGCTACTCTCCCCCTCCACCGTCCCGCCGTTCGCCTCCGCCGTACAAGCGATCTAGGAGGGGCAGCCCCCGCGGTTATGGACCGGACGATAGGTGATGCAAGCTTTTGCCCTAATTTTTGCTCGCATTTGAAATAGATGAAATTTTCTGTTTCTGATCTCTGTAATTAGGTCGTGTATATATGTCTTATTTATCTTTATGTCAGAGTTGTGCAGCTCGTTTTATTGCAGTTTTAACTTTGATTATGCTGTTTAGTATCTTTGTTTGTTGGGATTGTATGTGTTTATTCAATTGCATTTGGTTGGAAGGGAACTCTCTAAATTTTGAGGTGTTGGTATCTGTTGGGCTTCGGGCACTTGGCTTTGATGTTGAGGTTTCACTGACAGACATGTTTAGGGTTTTGAGCAGCTTTGTTTTATTTAGTTCCTATGTTTTGTAGTTTGTTTTCTGTTTGTTTCTTTTCGATAGGAGGATTCCTTAGGCACTCCTGTTTTGTAGTTTTTTCTTGTCATGTTATGAATTTCTTTTTATTAAAATATCTGTTTATTCAGTGAAATGGAAAATGAGGATTTTTGAAATCTTAATTTATAGATCATAGATATTCAATTGTTCAGAGGCACCATGGACTTTTGTCAAGGGCTTAGATGAATGGCAATCAGTCATATTTGCTGTTTAGTTATTTGGGCCAGTGGAAGAACATTGCATTGCTTCTTGATGTTAGGTGTTATCCTGTTTTGTTCAACTTTCAAGTTTTCAGTTTATTGCACTCTTGCTTTTCTGAAGTGGTGTTTCAATCATAATTTTCATTGAATTGTGAGCTCTCTACCAAGTTTTAATCATTCAATGTTGGCAATATGTTTCAACTTTCAAAGGCATTACAACGGAAATTTATGTTGTTTTAATTATAAATATTTTTTAGAAGAGAAAGAAATCATGCTAATCCATTCATGTTTTCTATCAAATAAAATAAGCCTTCTACAAATCTTGTATTTATTGGAAATGTCAATTGTGTTTTAATGATTTCTGTTTTTCATATTTTGTGAATGCTTTAGAATATGTCATAGAAGTTGCAAAGGCCAATGTGTATATCTTCTACTGTTCTATTCAGCTACATGTATTTATGATACTCTGCTGACAAACTTATCTATTTTATGCTTTCTTAGGATGAGTGGTTATATTAAATGTTGGCTGAGCAACATAATACCATATTCATGCTATCATGTCATCATTTAAATTGTTTCTAGGAGATATATTAGAAAGATTTTCTTCTTTATTTTGTTATAGTGGAAAAATCTTTTAAAAGCTACATTTAACATGTTTGTGTTTCCTCTCTTGCATTTGAATTTCGTTACGTTATGTCCTTGTTACACTATGCTATGCATCACACCTTATGCGAATATTTGTGTAGATTATATTTGCTTAATTTACTTCATAATGTGATTGAAGCAGATTTGGCTATGATTATTATGGGGGTTATGAGCGGGGAGTGGGTGGAAGAACTGGTTTTGCTGATGAGAAGTCTTATGGCAGGTTTGCACATCGAACTGCTGGGGCATATCATAATGGGATGTCTGGTATGTTAATAGATGCTGTTCACTAGGGTTTTTCCTACATAATGTAAATGTCATTTATCTATAACTTTGATTCCTGTTTTATTCTTCTAATTGAACTAAATTAAACTTGCCATATTCCAGTTATGCATGCTATAATATATCTATGCTCTTGGCCTCTTTCTTCTGTGTTTTGTCTTTTGCATTGTGTGTGTGTTGATGTTGGCAATGGGATAGGATGGGAATGATGAGAGAAAGCCCACTTAGTAAAATGCATATTTTAAACTCCTCCTCCACTCTGATTCATGACAGTGGGGCACAAAGGCTCAAATTAATTACATGCTGAGTATGAACATTATATGTTAGGAACTTAGGATCAAGATAACAAGTAAAATAAGAAGAAAAAGTAAAAATGAACTTGTTATGGATCTATTTTTGTTGTGATTTTAAAGGGATTTTGCTTTATTGTTGTTATTTTTATATATCCATAGATATTTAATAAATTTTTTTATTTGAGGTAGAGAGTGACCCTTGGTGCAACAGTAAGTTTGCTGCCTTGTGATAATGGGTTCCAATCTTGGAACCCTCCACAAACCCCACCAGGTGGGAGTCTCTCACTCACACAAGTGTTTTCGTCTTCAAAAAACTTCAGAGAAACAGACTATTTATCCATGTTTGCGATTTCAAAGAAACAGGCCATTTATCCATGTTTGCGATTTTGTTTATTTATATTCATATAGCATATTCATTAATTACAGTGTAGAAGGTCTGTTTCAATGGAATCAATAGAAGATACATTAATGTATTCAGCATTAATGTATTGATTCTGTTTTAATTACTTTTCCTTGTAGAAATTTCAGCATGCCACCAAAAGGTATTGTTTGCCACATGTGATCTGTTCTCTTCCATTCACCTTGGTTCCACACTTCCACATGTTATATTATGCCTTGGTTTAGCACATGAACCAAACACTACCAAAGGGCTTTTGAGATCATGCATCTCATTAATTTTTAGTCTTGCCCCTAGTTTGTTTTTGATCACCAACCTTTTGGAGAATTGTATTCTGTGCTCATACTGCATGCTTCATGTTTTGTGAATTTCTATATCTAAATCTTTCACTTTTGAATTTTATCAGTAAATTTGAAAATTTAATGTATTTCTAGCTTAAGTATCAGCTTTGTTCTTGGAGAAAATTTAAGAAAACTCTCTTATTGACCTGAAAATTTGAAGAAATATGAAATCAGATATTTCAATTTTACCCAGATCTAAGAATAGCATGGTTGGACTAAATGAATGTAATAAACTCTCTTTAACAGATGTGAAGGCATGAAGTCATTTGAAATTTTTTTCATGTGCCATGTTTAAAAAATTTCATCACAATATCTAAAAGTTGCTAATTCATAAATTATAAATAAAATATTGATAATTGATTGGTATATCATGAAAAAAATATTATATTATATTTTCTTTTCTTTTATCAATTTTCTTGTTTGTATACTTTTACCTTATGCCAGACAAATTGTTTTCAATTTCTTTTTACCTGAGTACTGAATCCATAATTTCTTCAAGTATGTAGTTTTTTGTTATTCAATGACATGCAGGGCTCTTCAGCAGTCATACAAAGAAAATAAAACTTGAATCTTCCTAAGTTTTTCTTGTTTTCTTTTAGTTCGTTTTAGAGGGTACTCTCAGTTTTCTTAAATGAATATTGACCTTTTAACATTTGGGAAATTCAAGTTTTGGTTTTCTTCTTTCCCTCCTTTCTTTAGTGTCTGTTGTGTGGTGTGTGGGTGTCTATCTATGTGTGAATATTTCAAGTTCAACTTTTCTCTTTCTAAATCTCATTTTATTGGTAAATTTCTATTCTTTTTTAGTTCACATGTAAATCTAATATTATTCCTGTGTTTTGGTTCATTTTGCAGATCTGGATACTCGTGGTTATGCAGATTTGCCAAGTGGAGGTGCACACAGGTCAGTTATGTGCCTTTTTTCTTTAATTTAAACCATGAGTGAATAAACATACCTGCCATGTATTATTTATTTATTGTACTCTGTCAGTAAAATTTCTATCAATGGGAAGGTACTTGAGATGGAAATATGGCAAACATGCCTATTCTCTCTCATAACATTGCAGGATCTGAAACTTGAGGTTTAGAGGTTTATGCTGTTGAGGAATTTTCAAATAATCTGGGATGGAAATGTTTTACTTTCTATCCTGAGTGGGCAGTTTCAATTGAGGATGCACCTTTCTACAGTGATTGTGCAAGGCCAACACCAGGTCTCTGCTGTTATTTGTTGAGAAATATGGGAGATGAGATTATTAGAGGAATTTGATGTGTGTGTGTGTGTGTGTAAAATGGGTATGTGTTATCAGCTCCTTTTTCCATAAATGGGCATCTGAAATTTTGATTCAAATGCAACTCTGCACAGATTGAAGTGCCGGATTAAAATCACCCATTACAAATGCCATTCAAATAGAAGACATCTTTTCCAAAGAAAACATTGAAAGAAGCTAATTCTGTCATGGCAAGTATTTATCGGAGGACACTTGTTGTCTAAGAACACTAAGGGTCTATTTGGTAGAAGTGGTGAAGAGGGGAAAGCTTACAAAGAATAGTACGCTTTCCCTCCCTTTTCTCCCTTTTCCACTTCTTTCAAACAGGCCCCGAGTGTTCTTTTATGGTTGGGGCTTCATCGCATTGTTTATTTGTATACTTTGAGGAAGATAGGTGTCTGCAGGACTTCTATTCCAATTTACTTATGGACTTCTAACAAAACTATTTTTTGGACAAGCAATCGGTCTGGCTTAGATACGAATGAAAAAGCATTGAATGTGAAAGTGTCATAGAAAGTAACCATGAGAAAAAGTGTATTCATGAATGAGGCTTCTATATATGAGAAAGTTTTTAAAAAAGGCTTTACTGCCTTCATTGTTTATGTTTTCTAGAAGTTTTCATATCCTATTAATGAAACTCCATTTATAAAATCCTGAAAGATTATTCTACTAGGAAGTTTTCTTTTTAGAATTTTGAATACCTTCACATTTTACAATACTGATATATACCATATGTGGTGCTCCTTCCTGTAGAAATCTACTGTGAGCTTTATGATTAAAAAAATTATGACAAATTTTTGAACCACTTTTGCAACAAAATCAACAAAATGTTAATTTGTTGATCTCTCTTTCTCTCTTGAGCTTGTTTGTTCACTCTACTACATATCTCAATTCTGTCTTGAATTATAGTTACTCTTGGGGTTGTAATTCTTTTTTTGATAAGCTGTGTCTGTTCTTACCCCATCTCCTTGCTAAAATTCTCATTCAGAAGATTGCTGTTATTTAATTTTTCTTCGGACTTTTGGTTTATTCCTTAACTTTGAACGGTTTCTACAAGAGAAAAAAGTACTGCTGCATGTTGCTTCCTATCCTATGCCTGCAAATTGTACAGCTTTCTAAATTAAACCCATTGACAGTTAATATTCATTGAAATAATTCACTAATTTTCTGGACAGCCCATTGAAACTTTGTGCAGATTTGTCTTGCATTGTTTGTTGAGTCTTTTTTAGAAATTTGCAAAACAAATCTTTTTCCCTTATTGTATTTTCTAATACATTGTGTGTGGGAAAACCCCTTATCAAATCAAAGGTCTCCTGCAATTTGTCTGATTTGGTACCTGTCTGATTCGTGAGGAAGGTATCTTTTGTTATAATTATTAAAGGAAATTTCAGCATGCCATCTATGTCTCGATTCTGTTCTGATTAAATTTCAGCATGCAAGTATGCAGCAAGAAGATAATGTTTAATGCATAGATAGAATATAATGAAATTTTTAGTTCTACCCTTTTTTGTTGGAACCAAATGTAGCATTTTCTAAACTCATGTCCTGTTCTGTTTTATTTATGAAGTGTATTAAACATAGAATAAAACCTTATGTTGTATTGTCTCATTGTAATAAGTCTACTAAATGCCACCGAGAGCTTGTTGACCACCCAGCTCATTATTTTTTTGTCTTGCCTTCTGGTTTGCATACTTCAACTTTTGTAATTTATTTCTATACGTAAGCATATCTTTCACTTTTGAATTTTATAAGTAAATAGAAAAACAAATATATTAGATTTATTATTTAAAATTCCTCTTTTTTGTTATCTTGAAAAGGAAGTTTCACTTTAAAATGTTGATGTGATTGCTGATTCATGGGATGTGGGTTTCCCTTGTTTTCTATATTGACAATATATTTTTTGGTGAAAGTCTGTTAACATTAAGATACTTGTAAATTATTTCAGAGAGGGGTTGATGTCCTACAAGCAATTCATTCAAGAGCTTGAGGATGATATACTGCCAGCTGAAGCTGAGCGCAGGTATTGTTTTGAAAAATTTCCTTTTGGTTGTGCCTCAACACTATTTAGAAAAGAATTTATTAGAATCCTCATTGACAAATCACAAACAATATACTTAATTTATTTTCTAGGTATCAAGAGTACAAATCAGAGTACATATCTACTCAAAAGCGAGCTTATTTTAATGCTCATAAGGATGAGGAGTGGTATGGTTTTCTTTCTTCTTTTTCTCAGTGCTAACCATTTTGTTTCAAGTACATGCAATCTTGCGTCCATTCCTTTATTTGATTTTTTTCCTTTTATGTAGGTTGAAAGATAAATACCATCCAACAAATCTACTTACTGTAATTGAAAGGTGAGTTTATGTAGATATTGAGCATTGTATCCTCTATATGTTAATGGATTATATACTAGAATTTTTACTGGGCTCATTGATAGATAGGCAGTTAGATTAATATGTTGATTAAGATATCTAATTGTGATCAACCCTATCTGGCTCATCTTTTAGGAGGAATGAAAATGCTCGACGGTTGGCAAAGGATTTTTTGCTTGATTTGCAAAGTGGAACGTTGGACCTGTATGTCTTGCTCTCTTACACTTATCACTCTGTCTGTGTGTCTGCCTCCTCATGCTTTCTATATTTTTTATGTGATTGGAATACTTTTACAATCAATGCAGAAATCCTGGTTTAAACTCCTCTTCTTCCAGTAAATCAGGGCAAGCCAGTGATCCAAACTCAGAGGAGGAAACAGACAATGGTGGCAAACGAAGAAGACATGGTAGGGGATCTAATAAAGATAATGATTTCTCAGCTGCTCCCAAGGCTCACCCTTTCAGTTCTGAACCTAGACGGATTCAAGCAGATATTCAACAGGCTCAAGCTGTTGTTCGTAAGCTTGACATGGAAAAGGGGATTGAAGATAATATTTTGTGTACCAGTGATCACAATAAAAATGATGATAAGGCTCACAGTGGATCTGTGGGCCCCATAATAATTATACGGGGCTTAACATCTGTTAAAGGCCTAGAGGGTGTTGAGCTACTGGACACACTCATTACATATCTTTGGCGGATTCATGGTGTAGATTATTATGGAATGATTGAGACTAATGAGGCCAAGGGCTTTAGGCATGTGAGACCTGAAGGAGCATGTCATGAGGAAATGAGTAAATCAGGGTCCGAATGGGAGAAGAAACTTGATTCATTTTGGCAGGGAAGGTTGAATGGTCTGGATCCATTGGAAGTGATGACTGCCAAGGAAAAGATAGATGCTGCAGCAGCTGATGTGTTGGATCCGTATGTTAGAAAAATCAGGGATGAGAAATATGGATGGAAATATGGTTGTGGAGCCAAGGGCTGCACAAAGCTTTTTCATGCAGCTGAATTTGTGCACAAACACCTGAAGCTAAAACACCCAGAGCTTGTGATGGAACTAACGTCAAAATTGCGTGAGGAACTTTATTTTCAAAATTACATGAAGTAAGTATTAAGTGATGGTTCTTTTATTTAGCAGTCAGTGTTGCAAGTGTTGGTGGAAATATCACTTACTTGGCCTTTCTATTATTGTAGTGATCCTGATGCTCCTGGTGGAACGCCTGTCATGCAGCAACCTCAGGTAGTCTAGTTATTTTTATTACCTTACACTTGTATACCTGGAAATATTACTAAATTCATGTCTCGATAACAAACCATCTTTATGGTTCCATGTTTTAAAAACTTAAGTTGTCCAGGTTTTGATAGTCGTTTATTTATATAACAATAACCAAATCTTATACCAATAGGTGGGATCGGATACATATAATGCTATTAAACTCGTTCAAAAATCAAATTCTAAAAAATATTATTACTCAATAACTCTTTTAATAACTTTCTTTAAGGTTCTTGAGTCTTTTTCTAACCCTTTTTATAGGACTAAAAAGTTATGTCATCCATTCTCCTGACTGGGACCTCTAGTGGTCTTATAATTATTTATTCGTAACATGCATGGTAGTCAAATTCGTGTGCTGTGCAATTTTACAATCTTACACCCTCTCAGTGCTAGCTTGGTGACAGAATTGTGAACCAGCAAGATTGGATGGGATTGTCGTGTTAGATGGTAAAATCAGAGCGGAGTGACTCCCTGTCATTATTCCTAGTGTACTCCCTGTCATTATTCCTAGTGTATAGCATCACAGTTTAGTGTAGCGCTGGAGCGGCATGAATTGCGGCTGCTATTTGATGTACGACAGAAATGTCAAATTTATCCTTGTTCTCTTAACAATAGAGGGCTTTTAAGGGATGCAACTTTGGCATTTTGCTCCCCCCCTTTACATTGTCAATTTCTACATGTCATTGTATCATTCAAACTCGATAGTATCAAACCCTAAGTGCTCCAACAAGACTCAAATGTGTGTGACGTGACCCATTTGTGTTAGGAGCTACTTTCCAACCAAAATCTGACTTTGTTCACTATATCCAAGCAAGTTATAGTCATCTTCATTTTCAACAAGGCCCACACATTTTCCGGCGTGGCCACCTGTGACGAGCTTTTTCCAATGAGACCACTCTACTCTATTTTGTTCTATTTTTCTTCTTTGTTCTGCTCTAACTTTGAGAACCTCTCCAAACGATTGAAATTTGAAATCTTCAACATATATATGTTTAGCATAATCTATATTTGATGTATTTTAAATTTTCAGAATAGTGGTTATCCTGCTATTTGCTTTTCTGCTATAGCTTTTGTGGGGTCGGCTGCTGTGTGCCACCATCTGGGATTGACTGTTATGGCTTGGATGATCCCTGGATGTTGAGAAATCCAATTTTTTACCCAATGTCCTGTGACCTGCTTTATGACCTGGTTTGCTAAAAACCTTTTTAAACCATAAAATTGATTCAGAACTTCTTCCCTAAAGGTTTCTTCTGCTCTGAGATTTTGTCCAACTTCACACAACCTCATCTGGTGACTGTGCTGTCTTCCAGTGAACTCATTCTGCTCTGGCGTCCTTATCTGCTCGGGTGACTCTGCTCTGCGCCTGCAACCTTGTCTTCTCTAGTGTGTTTGTTTTGCTTGCTACACGGCCTTGTTTTTTCTTTGCTCTGTTTTTATTTGCCAAAGAGGTTTGAAGTTGCAAATAGTTTGCAGTGCAACAATGCTGCCGGAGTAGAAATGTTGACTTTCCCTTTTTATCCCCAGAATGAAACAGTTTTTAGGGTTTTTTAATGATAAAAAAGACTTTTTATCTTTTAAAAATAAACTGACTTTTCCTTTTTGCCCTTAAAATGACCTTGTTTTAAGTTTTTTTAAAGGTAAAATAGTCTTCTCATCAGAACAGATTACCTAACCCATCTTTTCTGTCTCCCCTTCTCTTGTCCCCATCTCTCTGTTTTTTGTGGGCATGTCCCTGTCTCTGTTTTGAGTTGAAGGTGTCTACCTTCCCTCATCTTTGTATTTATACTATTTTATATGCAGACATACAATTTTGTAGGATCCTATGAGTTACAATCTTTGACCTTGTTTCCGATCCTATGTAGAATCTCAATTTTGACTCCTATGGTAACATGACATTTCAGCAACATTGCAGCCAGGGCATGTACTGCTTATGAAATTTGCTTTGAATTTCCCTGTAAATGGGTGCTGCTCTTTCTGTCGGGCAAGTAGTCCGATGTATCAATCTTTATGAGTTAATGGCTTTAGCATGGCAATGTATTTCTGCAAAATTTATGGTTTGATTTTCATATGCTCATGGTCCATTTTTGTGCTGTTGTAGAAGGATAAACCTCTAAAGCGAAGATTAGGTCTGGAAGGCAGATTGAAAGATGATCGTGGTAATCGGCGAGACCAGGACAGGAGTGACAGAATGAATGGAGATAGGCCTGATGGTTCCCCATCTCATGAAAGGCAGATGGGAAATCATGATGAAGCCATGTATGATGCATATGGAGGACCTGCTGTACCATTTACCTCAGATATGCCCCCTCCTCCACCAGTGTTGATGCCTGTACCTGGTGCTGGGTTGGTTGCCCTTCCCATTCTTCTGGATTTGATCCACTTTATTGCTTATTGAGATTGTTGGTGCTGATATAATTTGTAATCTGTAGGCCTTTGGGACCCTTTGTTCCTGCTCCACCAGAAGTTGCAATGCAGATGTTAAGAGAGCAAGGAGGACCATCTTCATTTGATGCATCTGGAAGGAAGATGCGATCTGGTCCCCACATGGGCGGACCGGCACCAATAATTGCTGTTCCTCCAACCTTTAGACCTGACCCTCGACGGATGCGAAGGTAATACAGGACCATTTGACGAACAATATTAAATTTTATGTTTCTGTTTGCCCTGATTGACTGAAATATTTACTCATTTTCCCAATGGTGGTGCAGCTATCAAGACCTGGATGCCCCAGAAGACGAAGTCACTGTGATAGATTATCGGAGCTTGTAGATATCACTAGTTTGGCTGTGTTTCTCTAATATGAATGAGAGTGGGTGGGCAGCATAGCATGCCTATTGCTGTCAACTGTGTCACTCTCTTAATGAGAGCTGCGGTCTTCACTAATAATGGGTTTAGCCTTCATTTCTTCTATGAATTTGTTTGAGAATCTTATTATTTGAGGTGGTGAAATATGGGCCGAGCGAAGTGACTTTGATATTGTACTAGAGATAAGATTTGTAGATTCGTTTAACAAAATGACATCTGATGTAAGGATAAATTAAAGATGTTAGCTGATTTATTTACTGGATAATCGTCTGATTGACTTTATTCGGTAAGACGATTGTATTTGTAGAGATAAAAACATCTATAAGAATTCCTTTTCCCTAAATTATGTTTTTAATTTTTCTAAATATGATTTTATTTTATTTTATTGTAAAGCAATTTATTGATTGGTCGTGCAAATTTTAATTATTTTTTAAAAGTTCTGATATTACTTAGTAAAATGGTAATATGTATTTAATTATGGTATATCACTTTTTTATGATTGTTAACGTGGTATCGTTAAAAACACCTGGAATATCATAAGTAATAAAAGATCATTTTAACTATATTAGAATTTGCGAGGATCAGAATTAATGATAAAATATTTACTGGATTAAAATTAATGAGGTATATTTGCAAGTACTAAAATTATACATGAATCATGTTTTAAAAAATATATATACATAAATCAATTATCCTGGTTGTTTTTATGAGTTGGTTTCAAGCTATCATGGCCCTCAAGACCAAAAAATTAAATAAAAAATTTATGGCCCAGAGGATAATATTTTATTGTTTTTTATCACTTGGAACCATACTGTGTTATGAAGTTTATACAAATTCAAGTTAGTCCAAATATAAATTAGGAGAGAGAAAGTGATCCGTTTATACTGTATGTGGACAAGGAGTAACGTCATACAGAAAATAATGTAATTTAAAATAATGATTTGAAAATTATTTTATCCTTATACAGTATGAGAAACGGATAAAATTTTTCGTTTATCTTATTGGTATTTACCACTTGGTGCTATACTTTGTATGAGTTTCTAAAATTTTGTCTTAGTTGAAATGGTAAGGATGACTTGCGACGATAAAAGGTGATGGGTGTCAAGTATTTTTTATTTAGACTTCCCAAAAGCATTCATTCCACGTAAAAATAGCTTCCCAAAGTTCATGCATGCTTTGAAATTTTGCCCCCCATGATATCATCAACTTAAGTTCTTGTGCTTGCTTTGGTTAATTTTTAGTTAATCAAGTTTGGTTTCTCTCCTTTACATTTTCTTTAATTATTGGTTGGTTTAGGAGTGTTTTAGTCTTGATTTAACTAAGCTAATTGGTAAGAGATATAAGTCTTGACCAAGTCCACTTCCTTATATAAATTTTTGGTGTTTTAGGAAATTCAAACTCTCTTCTCAAACTCTCTATTTTAAGCTCGTGCAGTCGTGCACCTTAATTGAATTTCGAAGAATTGGATTTTTGAAATTTTTGCAACAAACTTGGACCATTTTAACGTTAAATTGGAGTTATTTTTGGAGAATTTTTGTTGAATTTTTTATTTGGATTTTGGACTCCCTATTTGCATGTCCAAACTACTGTTTATCAAGTGAAATGTTATAAAATTTTTAGATTTTTTTATGCTAATAGCTTTGCACAAAATGGGGCAACATTCTAGACGTAATTTTTGGCTTATTTTATAATTTCTATTTAAATTCTTATTTTGTTTTCTAATAAGTAAGTATAATCTTTGTGTATCTTAAGTTAAATGGTTGAGAATCAACTAAAGTGATTTACAAAAACAATCTCTACTTTTAACTAGGTCATACTATACTTGCATTTTCTAATTTTTTCTTAAATTGACTTGATTTTGGGTCAATTTTATTAATTGTTTTGATTTTTTTATCTATTTTCTAATTTTAATTTAATTAGATTAATATAATTTCTAGTCAATTAGAAATAATAAAATTTTGGAGTGTTATATTTCTTGTTTGTTTATTATTGACATGAAAGATTTATCTAGAAAGAAAATGAAGGGGCTTTAATTTGAAGGATTTATGGTAAAAAAAAAAATTTGTCATTCTAATATTAGATTGTTGAGTCGTGTTCTCACAAAATGTTTCGTGTCCTCACAAATCAAACTAGAAACAATAATAAAAAACAAAAATTGCAGAAAACTTAAAAGAGATAGGGAGAAGAAGAAAAGCAATAGATCTTTAATGTGGTTCAACTAATATGGCCTACATCTACAAGAGAGAGTAACCAAACTCATTCAGTAGTTTATCATGAACTGATTACAAAAAAATTCACATAATGCCTCTCTTGTAAGAAGACGAGAAACAAATTTTATAAAGGGAACTAAGAATCTAACTAAATTGGAAACTAACAGTTTCTAATAACAAGTTTGTTATTATATTTTTAACTTGTTTTTGAGTCATATTATCATCACAAATCTCCACCTTGACTCTAAAATACTTGACATAACTTGTTTCTTTGAGTTGCTTTCCCACTTATCTTCAATCACCTTGTGAAATTAATTAAGTCTAAGCAATGCTTGAACTTCACTCTAGGAAGGGACTTTGTCAACATATCTGCAGGATTTTCCTCTCTCACAAATTTCAGTGCTTGAACCTCCTTTGAATCAATCACTTCTATAATGAAATGAAATTTCACATCAATATGTTTAGTCCTTTCATGGTAAGTTTGATGGTTTGCCAAATGAATAGCACTTTGGCTATCACAAAAGATATTAATCCTGGCTTGACTTATGCCTAAATCATCAATCAAACCCCTTACCCATAATCCTTCCTTTACTCCTTTTGTAAGAGCAATATATTCAGTCTCAATAGTTGATAAAGCTACCACCGATTACAAATTTACTTTTCAAGTGTATGTTGTCCCAAACAAAGTAAAAATATAACTAGAAATAGACTTTCTGGTATCAATATAGCCTGCAAAATCTGCATTCACATACCCTGTTATAGCATCACTTTTAGCTAGACTCCTCTTGAATCTCAAGCCACAATCTAATGTACCATTAAGATATCTAAGCATTCACTTAAGAGTATTTCAATGAGCTGTGTAACGCCTCAGAATTTGTAATAATGATAATAATAGTTTTGAGTTATTAATATAATTGTGAATTTCCATGTGGATGGGCATTTGATGAGTATGATGATGATTGTGCATTGAGATTGGATGTGCTAGACTGATTAAAAATAGGTTAAGTATGTATTGTAGAGGTGTTCTCGCTGTAGCGAGAAGGCCCTAGGAGAAGGGAGTGAGACTGTGACTTTCTCGCTATAGCGAGAGATCCCTCGCTATAGCGAGAGATCCCTCGCTACAACGAGAGATCGATAATGAGGGGTGCATTTCTGGGTACAGTCTCACTATAACGAGATTATGCAAAAACTAGGGTGTAATTTCCTCTAATATTTTCGTTGTAGCGACAAGGAGTGTCATTGCAGCGAGAATATCTCGCTGTAACGAGAGTGTTGCGACTAGAGGGGTATTTGAAAGGTCTAGGGTTCGAAAAACACATTCTCACTCTTTTCTCTTCATTTCCTTTTTGATTGTCTCAATTCAAAATCCATTCCTATTGATTAAATTACCTTCAAAGTCGTTTGGAAGCTAGATTGAAGGTTAGAGTCATGTTTGGGGCATTTGGAGGTAAGTTTTGATAGTTAAGGTTTCGATTTTTCATTCCTCTTCTTGATCTCTTGGGCTTTCATAGAGTTTTCCATGTGTTTTAGGGACGAAATCTGTGTGGGGACCGTTTTCTACCATTATATTGTGTTGACTCTTCGATTTGAGGTAAGGAGAGACTCTATCCTATCTCTTTGTGTCTTCAAATCCGTTTACATTGATAGATAATGCAATGTAATTAAGATAAAATGTAGGGAGATGTATATTTAATGAGAATGGCTTGATTGTAAATGTATTGTGATAGAAATTTCATGTGAAATATAGGGTGATTGATGGTGGATGTGTGTGTGTGATGAAATGGATGATTGTAGGGACATTATGATGAAAATTGTGTGATAGAATATTATTTAGTGGAATATGGGTGTTTGTGCCTTCGATTGAGAATGAATAATGTGAGATGAATGACATGTGTGTGTGGAAGGCATGATGAATTGTGATTGTGTTTGAATATGTGAAAAATTATGAATGGTTCAGCGATACACTAGGGGTGTAGAAGATGGGGTGGTAGAAATACCTTGAGGAAGAGAGGGTAGTGATGACACCAACAGTGAGCGTTGGTCCACCACCGGCCACACGCTCTCTTCCTGACTCGGGCTCTGACTAACACATTTGCCAAGGAGTCTGTGACCACATACGTTGTATCTGTGAGACAGAAGTTATCCGACAATCATCCATAGTGTGAAATTGAGTAAGTCCTTGAAGTTGAGGACATCAGGAATTTATGATCACAGTGCCACAGTGAATGCACATGTGTGTATAGATTGCTTGATGGTGCAGTGAGTGCACCTGTATGTGAATGAGAATGAAATATTTAAGTTATTGCTTGTGTTTGCATAATGAACGATTTATATTATGATAGAAATGGGTGGAAGTATGTCAGGTGAGTCTCTATGCTTATGTGTGTTGAATAGTGTAGAGTACTCACCCTTACATTTATTTTTCAGGTGATCAAGACGATCGACACCGAGCTTAGTGAAGGGATGGATGAAACTGCTATAGGACTAAAAAGTTATTTTGGAAACTCTGGTGTATTTAAAACTAGTTATGTAGCAATCTTCTATAAACTTGTAATTCGTCCTTATTTGAAATACTTTACCAAACTTATGCATTGGAAAATTGGTTGAATGGAAAATTTTTATTATTTCCATTTTTGTGAAATTTATTTATTTAAAAATTAAATTTAAACTGTTACAAGTTGTACCATGATTTTTCATAAATTTGCTTATAAGACTAATAGCATAAGCTAAGTCTGGTCTGCTGCACACCATTCCATTCATGATACTACCAACACCACTTGCATAAGGAATGAACTTTATCTCATTCCTTTCTTCCTCAGTTTTAGGAGCCTAAGAAATTGAAAGTTTAGTAAGAGAACCCAAAGGTGCGTGAACAAGGTTAGATTGATGCATTCTAAATCTTTCAACCACTTTCTTTAAGTAATTTTGCTAAGATAAAAATAGTTCTCCATCAGTCCTATTCCTTACAATGTCCATGCCTAAGATTCTTCTAGCTGGTCTAAGGTCCTTCATTTCAAACTCAGAACTGAGTTTGTCCTTGAAAGCCTTTATCTCCTCTATGCTATGTCTAACCAACAATATTTCATCCATATATAGTAGTAAATACAACACATACTTCTTATTTCTCTTAAGCACATACACACAACTATCATATCTACACCTGTTGAAGTCATACTTTATAAGAAAAGCATCAAACTTCTTATACCATATCCTTGGACTCTGTTTTAAGCCATATAGAGACTTCTTTAATAAACAAATTTTATTTTGTTCTGTTGCAAAACCTTATGGCAGCTGCATAAAGAGAGTTTCCTCCAATTCTCCATGTAAAAATGTTTTCACATCCATTTGCTCCAATTCCAAGTCCAACTAATTCACCAAACTCAGTAAAATTCTTATAGAACAATGTTTCATAACAGGTGAAAAGATTTCATTGTAATCCACTCCTTCTATTTGAGTAAAATTCCTTACTTTGAATCTTGGTGACTCTAATCTTGGTATGCCTTCTTTTCTCTTGAAGATCTACTTACAAGCTACTTGAGTTAAGCGTCCCACCTATGAAGATGAAATGAAATTAGTTTTAGGGCTCATTTGATGGGTAGGATAAGGGTGGATAACATAAGATAATTATCATATCCGTTCTTAATCAAGTGTTGTTGAACCACAATGATAAGATTAATTTATCTTATTATCATATCCTATTGGACTAGTGTAATTGTTATCATGAGAATATGGCTGAATTGGGAGAGGAAGGAAATGATAGCAATTATCATTCCAAAATATTCTTAATTTATTTTATTACCTCGCTTTCATCTCTCTATTCTATTTTTATATATTTTTAAAAGTATGTTAAAAATTTGAATAATATATTAAAATGTTTTTATATATTTTAAAATTAAAAAATATTTTAAAATATTTATATATTTCTATAAATTAAAAATAAATAACTTATAAAAATTAAAAAATAATATTTTCCAGAAAAAAAAAGATTTAATTTAGTAAATATAGACAAGAGTAATTTTATCATTTTCTGCATATTTATGTTATATCCTTTTTTCTATCAAGTTTGCATTAAATATTGAATATGATAAAAGCTTATCATGCTTTTATCATTTCCTACTTTTATCAAACCTTTTTGTCATATTCATCATGATCCTATCTTGACCACCAAACAACCCCTTAAAGAATATAGATTTTGGGAATGGAAAGAAAAAATGAAAATCTTAGAGAGAGAGGGCAAACAAGGTTGTGGTTATGAGTTTGTCGTAAATAACATAAAAAAAGAGACTTTTATTGAGTGTGTTTCTTATCAAGAAAAGATTGTTATTGCTGTTATATTTTTCTTCCTTCCTTAGTCATTTTTCTATCTTGTACCCTTTATTTTCTTCTTTGTTTAATTGCACCAACTTCAACTTCACACAGATGAGAGATTGATTGAGAACTTACAGTTACCCAGAGCAACAGACATGTGATTTCAACTTCAAAGGAATGGAGAGGGAGTAGATTGAGAAAGAGAGAATGAGTGTTATGATAGTTGTCGGACAACGGTGGGTTTTGAAAAATGTTAGTATTAAGTAAGAATAAAGAAGAAAAAATATAAGTAAATAAAAAATTTTAAGAATTTAAAAAATAAAAATGAAGAAAAAATATATATCAGACTATATACAACATTATTTCTATTACGCAATCAATCATATATATTATTTAATGTGACATCTTAACATTGACTTACTATTTTTTAATAATAGATAATTAAAAAATCAACTAAATTGATGGACAAAGATAAATGCTATAGATTATCAAACGAGGTATTTTAAAATTTTAAGGACTAAAATGTTTAACACTAACTATTTCATAAATATAAGGAATTTACTAAATAGTTTATTATTTTATCAAATTATCATATTCTATTCTCATTATTCATATCCTCATCCTTGAGGAGGTTGATTTGTTGAAAATTATTATGACATGATAACTTCTTTTGTTATATCTTATTTAATATTTTTAAAGAATAATTGCTTAAAAATATAATTTTAACATTTCTTATAAAAAATATTATATGAACATTTTTTAATAAAAACTATTTAAAAGAAAAGTATATGTTAAAAAAATTTATAAAAAAAATATTTTACTCATTTAAGTGTAAAAAAATGAGAATAAATTGAATAATATTTGTTACTACAATATTTTACATAGTATATTCCTTAATACAAAGTGTTAGATCAAGGGAATAACACATGTGCCCAAAAAAAAAGAAAGAAAGAAAAAAAGAGTCTATTTCAATGATTATCATATGTTCAAATAATTTTTTATTTGATAAATACATGAATGTATAATTTTGAACTCATTCAAATTTGAGCAAATTGATTGGCAAAAGATGGTGACTGAGTGAAGATTTGAAACTAATATAAAAGTGGCTGAAACATCCTCTTCTTTATTGACGCTGCTCTACACTAATTGAAGAGTTTATTGAGAGTATGAGAAAGGTATAGATAGTAAGTTAATTGTAGATTTCAAAATGAAAAGGATTCAAATGGAGATTTCAAGATGCACAATTGGGACAAATGCTTTCACTAATGACTTTATAGTCATGGGTTGAAATGTTCACAGGAATATTAAATTGCTAGTCCATAACATTTTTAATACACTTAACATTAATCAAATTAATAAATGCAAATTAGATTAAATGATATGATATTATTAATAGACTTAACATTAATCTGTTTGACTGCATAAAAAAATATTTGACTCCCTAAGTTATGAGATCACTAAAGAATTATCAACAAATTGAAATTAATTTTTTGAAAAATTTTCAATAAAATCATTGTGCTTATCTTTTATCGACTTTTACTTTTAAATTTATTTTTTTATTTATTTTGTTAGAAGATATTATCTTATCTCTAGTGATAATTACATACAATTATTTGTTTTTTAATTTATAAGTATGAGCTATTTCAATAAAATTTATTATATAAATTATTTTCTCAATTTTAATGTACTTTTATTTATTAAATGTGAGTCATAATTGTTTAATGATATTATTTTTGAGAGTTTTCTTAAGTAAGAATGTTTTTAAGATGAGCTATTTTCTTTTTCATAATGCTAAGTGACTTATCCTACACTAAATATTTAATTTTAATTTTGAAATTTTCATAATTTATTAAAAATATATTTTAATTTAAGGACATTTATATAATAAACTTTTAAATAATTCAAAAATTAGTTTTAAAACATCGATACAATTTTTAATACACTATTTTTAAAATTATATATTTAACATTATTTATTTATTAATTTATTAGCTTTAATCTTGTTACATGTAAAAGTTTTAATTTTATTTTTTAATTTTTAAATGTTATTGGATTATATTTTTTTATTGACTACAGTCAGATCATGAAGTAAGAGGGACAACACTCAAAAGAGAATGAAAACAAATAATGTATATTCCAAAAATAATTTATTTAAAACAAGTTTAAGAATAAAATTAAAATTTTTAAAAATTAAAAAATCAATGTAATAAATAAATAAATTAGAGTAAAAAAATATAATTTTGTATTTTTTTCTTTAATTTCATTTTCAGCATTGAACATTGTTATTTATATATTGTGTTCAATTTTATGTCATAAGTTATTCATATTTATTTGTTATCAAACTTAATCTTTTTTAAACAATATTTATCCTTTAAGCAATCATGTTCAATTAAACATAATAAATTTCACACGACTGAATTTATTAATACTTGAATTTAGAATTATATATTAAACTGAAATAACTTCACTACCAATTGATCCACATGTTGGAGGGTTAAACACATAATTTAATTAATTTAAAAATGAATAATTTAATAAATAAGTAATTCAATAAATATATTTTTAAATTCAAATGATTCAATTTTTTTCTTAATATTCTTTTTTCACTTTTATTGTAGTGACATTTACAAAGTGAAAAATCACTTTCAACTACCTATGTTTTTTGAATTTTGTTCAAATAAAATAATATCATTACCTCAATTTCATTTGAAAATATGTCATGTAATATTTATTTTAAAGTAGATAATACTTTTTAACTAGCCATATGTTGTAACAAATAATACTCCTTAACGTTATTTTAAGCATAGTTCATACTTATTAATGAATAAAAATACTCATCCCATCCTTCCCATTTAAAATTATTTTTTTTAATTTTTAAAATTTTATTTTACCTTAATCTTTTCTTTTTTTGGTCAATAATTTTACCGTAATCGAATTTAAATATAACAAGCAATGTGAATTGGGCTTTCGGTCTTCTGAGTGAAGGCCCATGGCCCAATAGAGAGCAGCAGAAAGTCCAGGACTGCAACATGACACTTGGCGCCGTCATTGGAGCTACCCCATGACTTTCATAGGTGTGTGCTTCCCAATTCCCCCACATGGCACATTCTTGATCGTTGGATGAGTTAAGCGGTATCAAATCCTAACCGTACAGCTGAATTGAGTGAAACCATATTGAATCCTCACCGTATAGCTTATCTTCTTGATCTTGTGTTTTCAAACTCCCAAGTATTTAAACACATCCTCGCAATTGCAGCAGCATCAACGTTCCGTTGACCCCCCTTTCGCTTCTCTGACTCAACTCTCTGCGTGCTATAGAGAGAGAAAGAGAGCGACAGGGGAAGAAAAAGAGAGAGAGAAAGAGAAAATCGCCGGTACGTTGTTTTCCCCCTTTACCCTATGTGAATTTGTTTGAATTATGGTTTGCTTAATGTGGTGTTTGCTTTGCTATGTTTTTCTTTTCTGCGAATTGGTTCTTTTTGGTATCTGTGCTTCTGATGCTTAGGGGTGTGTGTGTGTGAGAGAGAAGATTAAGGTTTCTTGGTAGTTTGCTAACAAATGTGTTTGCCTGTGTTTTTTTTTTTCCTTTAGTTTTTCGGTTTATTTTTTTCTATGTGAAGTTGTGTTGAATTATGGTTTGCTTAGTTATTTTTTTTTTTATCTCCTGCTTCTATATTTTTTGTGATTTTTTTTCCTTTTTTTTTTTTAAATTTTGTTTTGCTTTTATTTGTGGTGAAAATTTGTTTTCCCAATTGGTTGTTGCAGTTTCTATAAATTGGGTTTGGGGTGTGAGTGAGGAAGACACAGGGAGGGAGCTAGAAGAAGAAAAAATGGGTTCGTAGGGTTTTGTAAATGTTATACTAGGTTGAATCTAACCTATGATCTCTAATGGTAAAAGCGATTGTTATTTTATTTTATTTTTGTGGGTTTCGAATAGCGCGAGTTTAGGAGAATTTTTATAATTAATATGACGGAAAAACCCTAATATTGATAAATGAAGAGTCTCTGGAGAAATATGGGTAATGACAGGGTTGTTTTTTGAGATTGAAGGGATAAAATATTGACAATTATATTTTACAAGAGTCGTTTGCCTGACAACGGCAAGTATCTTACATTTTATTTTATTTTTATCATTTTATTTTTCTCAAATATTATCTTTAAAATTTGTCGATTTGAATTTTAAATTTTGTCATACATGAAATTAGTTATCGTAGTGATGGTATTTCTTGATTTAAATAATTTGTTTTTCAGAAATTTTCTTTATTTTACGAGTCTCATATCTTCAATCAATTTACATTTTTGTGAAATAAAATTCTAATTATTAGTAACAAAGACAAGACATCTCCCAATATACTTTCTTACTATTAACATGGGTGATTATACAATCGATTACCGAATAGCAATATTTTTTTCTCTTATTTTTTATTTTAAATTTTTTCTGAGTTTTGAATTTGGAACAAGAAACTTACTGTTCTGTGTATAAATTTTTTTTGTGCATGGGGTGGACAATTTCTTTTATGTGAGACCTAGATCCCAGAGGATCCTTGGTGGTCTAGCAGAGGGCCCCACTAGGTGGCTCCCTAATTGAACTTGAGGGATGAAATGGGGATAAAAGGAGAGAAATTGGGATGAAGTTGGATCATGCTGCATGTCCTTAGCTCTCGCTATTTGAGCTGCTACTTAATTAGGGGACTTGAGGGTGGCGTGGCGGTTGTGAACCATTGTGCCTCTAAAATCTGTGTGTCTCATATGGTTGGATAATTTATAATTATAAATGTGTATTCTTTACTAGAGTTTCATAGATTTTGGTTTATTTGAGCGCTTTTGGAAGTTAATTTAATACGGGTCATGATTAATTGACTTCTATTTCTGGAGGGGTTGTTTAAAATTTAGAGTATAGTTCCCAGTTGTACTTTTTAATTTCGGTTATCATTAATTAAAATTTACATGCTTAGGCACTTCAATTTTAAGAGATGTGATTTCTTAGAAAATCTGAACATTTTTTTTATTCATGAGTTTCAACTGAACAAGCTACAAATAGACAAGTAGCAAGTTTCATCTTCAACGGAGTTACTTTGTGTCAAATCAGATTTCTTGTCGCTTTAGAATATTTTACAATAAGGAGACAAATGGGGTATGAAATCCCCCTGTTTGATTGGAATGTGTCTTCTGTCAGTGAAATGTGTTTTTGAAATACTGAGTCATTTGTTTGGTTAAAATATTTTCTAGTTTTCAATTTACTATCCTGCTTATTGCCTAGTAATGAATACTGATGTGAAAACATAAAGGCTAAATGGCTAATGCAGATTATTATAATTTGTTTATGGTACATTTTGAATTTCATTTTATGCATATATGTTTTATATGACATGCATTTTGTTTTTGTTTTGTAGAGTTAAAAGGAAATTAAGAACTGCCAAATGCTTGAATTGACTTTAGGCTATCCTTCATAAGCCCAGATTCAATGCCAATCCTTCAAATGAAGGCTAAGTCAACTACAACCTGCAAAAAAGATGAGAGCTATCCCCATGTTTGCCAGAAATCAAATAAAATATCTAAAAAACCACACTCTATGGTCAGAATAACTAATGAAAAGGAAATTTTAGCTATCTCAAACCAAACATCTCAAAATGGTAAGCCTTAATACCTTACTGATTGAAATGATAAAAAAATCAAATGCAATCTGTTATAGCATTGGTGCAATTTCATCCATGGAATCTTTTGACATTCATTTGGAAATATGGTGCAAGCGAAGTCTCTCATTTTTAAATTGAACGCGCTTGGTGTAGATTTTAGCAAAATTGAAGAATCTTCCAAGGATCATGACAATGAAAAAGACATGCAGCAAACTTGTTCTTCATTCAATGGATGTACAGATTCAATAGATGGAAAGGTAAGATTCAACTTTATCTCATGTCTTTGTTTATATGATATAAAATATGCTCTTGGTCCAAGCTTTGTGGCAATTTTACATGCATAAAAATGAGTGCAAATTATGATTTACTTGAGTGAAAACTTTCTCCTTGCTTTTTCTGGGCACAGTAGCATGTTGTAAAAAATTATACAGTAAATGAAGACAAGAAAATGAGTAATGGTTGATAGTATTGGCCCTATATTGAAACTTGAGTTCTCTTCATCTGTACCTTCAGATGCAAGTTTTAATGTTCAAAATTTTGATCTGTACTTTTTTTCTGTCTCATTTTCTGGACTGTACTATCCTTAGTAATGTAAGATTATCCACATTGCATGTGGGTTTATCTATGTCTGAGTATTCCATCCAGCTACTACTTTTTCTAAAAACATTACATGATGTCCCTGATTTACTATTATTTAGGCTTAACAGTCAGCTATAAAAATTTATTGTACCTTCACTTATGTCTTGTAATATTGGTTTGGGAGTTGCGGTTGGAATAGCTAGGTTGAAGTATTTAATTATTTCACCAATTCGTTAATCAGTTGTATGGTGCGTGGATATCTAATCTAAGATGCAATTATAGCAATTGATGATTATAACCGTCGAAACTTTCTTCTTTGATTAGCCACTGGCAACCCTAGGGTTTTTTATTAAATGAATATTGTTCCACTGCAATAACATTTGGATGCTTCTTTTGTGTCCTTTATAAAAAAAAAAAATCAAGATGTGAATGCTCATTGCTCTGTTTGGTTGACATTACTTAGTATTATGGTCTGTTTTATTGCAGGATTCTTTCCCATCTTCTGTTTCCTTGGATTCAGAATCAATGCCGTCTTATTTTAACGGGTCTAATTATGCTCATTGTCACCAATTTGATTCAGGTAGCCTCTAGAAACCATACTAGTTTATAGATAGATAGATAGATAGATAGAGATTAAAGCAATTAAATTAAAGAACTAATGGTCAATATAAAAGCTGAGGATGAAACATGCTCCTGGAAATCAAAAGGTAACATCATATAAATTGACAAAGGTTAAACATAAACTTCTGGTAAAGCTATCCTTTGATAACTAACAAACTTCTAAATAACCATAAGCCAAAGCACCATAAGTTCATAACTAGGACAAAAGGAAGATTTTTTGCTCTGTGCCTTCCACCAATAATTTTGCGGTGACCTTATTTTATGAGGCCATATTAAACTTGGAATCTAACCAATATAAATGTTCAATGGTTTCATTAGGTTAATTCTAGCATGTCCTTTCCCCGGTTGGCTCTAAGAAGTATTTTCAAGAATGATGCTATATTTTTATTTGATTATCAACTCGCCTTGTACTGTCCTTCTGTTTGTAACAAGTGTGTGGGCTTTGGTCTCATTACAGTTAATAAGGAGCAAATCACTTGGGCAGATCAAGTGGATGACATTAATGTCCCCAATTTTCAAATGCTTCAGGTGTTAGATTTATATCCTTATGAAGGATGTAGCACTGGGTTGCCCTGTGATGGGATAAGTGTAATTGATAATAGTTGGAGCTTTAATAGCCTTCCTGATCTTGAATTTACTGGGACAAGTTTTATAAATCATGTCAATGAGGGAATTCTGTCATTTCCCTCTGTCGAGGAGACAATACAATCAGCAGATTACCGTTATGTAGGGTCCTCTGAAGAGTGTCTGCAGATGTCTGATTCTTCATGGTTTCATCTCATGTGCCATCAGGCCAAGCCATTTACTAATGAACTTGATGTCAATACCAGTCAGTTTGATTCAGATAGAGTAGACTATTTTGATCCGGAGACATTCGTTAAAAGTTTTTTGGAGTTATCAGATGAATCTAACTCATTACCTGCCTTAGTAAGCAAGGAAACAAGCAAACAGAAGCGTGTTACCCTTGTTCTTGATTTGGACGGTAATTTTCTTTCATCTTTACCTGCTCATATGGATTTTATCCCATTTAGTGAGGATTTTGTCTTGAATTATATCATGATCAATTAGCTTCACTACCAGGAAAATGTAAAGATGGTTGTTTCCTATGGGACAATGCTTTGTATATTTTTCATTATACAATGCATCCTTTTTTATTCTTTGCCATTATCTGCATATACAATGGAATACCACCTCTATGTTCTTGCGTCTTTCTTGTTACTTGTTTCTGACTTATTTGGTCTTCCAATATAAGAGAAAATCCTTGCTAAAATTTAATGATTTTTTATTTGTTTTACTTTGAACCTTATTCCTAAAATATTTAATATTGTTTCTTCTCTACAGAAACACTGGTCCATGCTAGCGCGCAAGAATGTGATAGTGCTGACTTCACAATTCAAATATCCCTTTCCATTGACAAGGAGTTCACAGTATATGTGCGAAAGAGGCCCTTCCTCCAAGAATTTTTGGAGAAAGTATCGGAGATGTTTGAAATCATCATTTTCACAGCTAGTAAACGCATCTATGCTGAAAAATTGCTAGCTGTGCTTGATCCTGATAAAAAGCTTTTTTCTCGACAAGTATACCGAGAATCATGCATCTTGAAAGATAACACCTACACCAAAGATTTGACAGTTCTTGGAATTGATCTGGCAAAAGTAGCCATAGTGGACAACTCTCCAAAGGTAAAGTTTCTTGGTCCTCTTATTATAGGTTTTCAGTTCACTGTAGTAATACTGAATTTGCTTGTTAGACACATACTTTAATACATTATTTTTTATGCATTCTTATTATTTGGGTGAATTTTATGTTAATCCTAGTTAATAAAAAGTGGACCCATTTAATTTAATAAGGCCCATATAAAATTCAGCTATTGATAAAAAGCATGTTGGAAAGAGTGTATTGAGTATTTCACTTTGGAATTTACTTAAAGAGGCGGCCTCATTTATATTATTAAATCACACGTTCTTTTCTATATTCATAAAGGTCCGATGAATTATCTACTTTTTTTGGAAAATATTTTCTTTAACATTGGAGACAATATTCATGAGGCCCTTCATTATATTATTAAATTGCATGTTTTTTTCAATTTTATTTGTTTGGTTCCCATGGTTACTGAAACTGCAAATGTGTTTTCATGATAGGTATACCGCTTGCAAGTTAATAATGGGATTCCTATTGAAAGTTGGTTTGACGACCCTTCTGACACTGCTCTGATTTCTTTGCTCCCCTTTCTGGAGAAATTGGTGGATGTGGATGATGTTCGCCCCATTATTGCAGAGAAATTTGGGGCAAGGATTTAATTTTCCGTTCTCTCCTTTTCCCCTTCTTTCAAGCACTAGATAACTCTAATCTTAGGATTTTACATCCTTTCAACCCAATTTTCATCATGATAGTTGCCTAGTTAGTGGTTTTTTGCCTAGATGCTAGTTGAGTTTACAGATTTTATTTGACTTTTTGGTGATTTTTTACAAATAGCTATGATTATGTTATAGCCAGATAGCATATATATATATATATATATCTCATATAAATGTATATAAAATATTTGAACTGTAATAATTTGCTTAAAATTTTCGGCTTTAGTTAAAAGGCATGTTGGTAAGTATTGTGGCTATGCTTTTCCTTCTACTCGAATTCAATGTTGTTCATGCATGCCGTTTTTTATGCGTTAGGCTATTTTCATTTAGGTATTTAGGATTCTTGAAAAGTGGAAATTCTTTGGTTATACATAATACTTTTGCATTAGAACGAATTGCTCAAGGGCCAGATGGGTCTTTATAACTTAAGCTTTGGGTTCTATTGAACTGTAAATCGGTTCAATATTTGTAATTACAACTTATGTAAGAAGATATGAGAAGAAAATTATGTGTAATATAATTTATGAAAATATGCAACACATAATAAATATGAAAAAGAAACAAATTTAATGAGTATAAATGCGGGGAATAATTGGATTTAACGTAGATTTTAAACCTTTCATGTGATATTGAGAGGATGATCATGCTATTAAGTCAACGTGGCGAATTTGAGATTTCGGAAGTTTTTAGATCAGTTCGTAATATAGGATAGGAGAGTGACTACTTATTTCAAGAACAAATGTTTTAACATTTATTTCATTTAGCATTTGTTTTATAAACTTAATCTGAATGTTAAGTCATGACAATATATGTTGGTAAAATTTAGGTAATGTACTTAAACATTTAATTTTTTATTTATATTTTAAAATATATTTATATTAGAATAAATTTAAATAACACATGTATAATGTTGCAATTGAGATGATGACGGGATAATCATTGCTTACAGAAAAAGAAGAATGTAAAATAAAGGATCAATTTAAAATTGATGTGAGTGAGTCGTAATTAAAGTTTATTAAAAAATATTAATTTTTTTTAATTAAACAAATTTTTAAAATTAAATTTAGTTATCACCAAAATTTATTAAAAAATATTGAAAAATTTTTAATTAAAAAATCTTTAAAATTAAATTTAGATTCGGAAAGTTATTTGTGTAAAAAAATATTAATACTTTACAATTTTTGTTAAATAAAACAGTTACTTTTTAATTAATTCTACAAAATTATTTTAATTTTAAAAATATTTATTTTATTTTAAATTTTTGTTTTATTTATTTAGTATTGTTACTTTATTTTTAATATAAAAGAAAACATGATTTGTAAAATATTATCTTTTTATTTTAAATTTGAATTAAACAAATAAATTATGTACAAAAAATATCATTATTTTTTTTATAAGAGGAATGAATTTAAAAATTTATTTTTTGCATTTTTTATTTCTAATTAAATTAAAAAGGTAATAATCTGATTTTAAATTTTTGAACAGAAGAAAATTTTGAAATTATTTTTATTCTTTTTAAAAAATTAAAAATTAGATAAAAAAAATAAAGAAAAGATATTCTTGGTGTTTTAGAAATTGAAAATAATTTAAATATTTTAGACTTGATGGGTCGATGAGTCATATTTACATTTTTACGTATCTTCTGACTATTGTAGAAAAATTAAAGTCACGTAATTCTTTTAAAAATCAAGTTTGGATAAGCTTCAAATATTTTAAAAAAAAAATATTTTATCCTTTTACTCTAGAAAAATTACTTTTTTTTATTAATTTTTATCTTTTTTAAATAAACTCACTCTTATACCCACCACGCTATCAATATTGTTTGACTATTATGTAGATTCAAAATTATTTTAAAAATATTAAAATTTTCTTATTTTAAAAATAAATTCACTTTTGCACAAAATTTTAGTTAAAATACGGCTATTCGATAAACTCTTACGATCTAAATAACATTAAAGGTGAATCTTCTCACACTAGTGTAAATCTAAAAACTCTTACACTCAATCTGAGTCATTCATTTAAGTTACATCTAACGGATTATAATTTATTACTTTAATGATCGTTAAATGAAAGTTAAATGAAAGGCTCAGATCGATTGTAAAATTTTTTAGACTTACACTAATGTGAGAAGATTCAGTCCCTATATATGTGTGTGTGTGTGCGCGTGCTAAAATATGTGATTATTCCCTTTAAAGATAGCACATTTTGTGATAGGTCTTTATAAATTTTTTGTTAGGATTTTGTCCTTATAATGTTAAGAAATTAGTATTTAGTCCATGTCCATATGCGAGGCGTCGTCTTAGCCATCCCTGACCAAGATCCCTCCCACACTTATAGTGTTCGTGATCAGCCTACTCAACCGTGTATTGATCGAAAGGCAGGGCGGCATAGCCCCCAAGGGAGTGGTTACGTCTAGTATGTCAACCCCTTATTCCGGACATGCTATGGTGCCCCGGGGTGGGTAGGAGTGGGTCGAGTCTGTATTGCCGCGGAGCAACTCTTTTCTGTTAAATGCTGAGTTGGTTAATAGAGAGTCATTAACACTCCTATGTAGCATGTCACGTCATTTAATTTTATAATATTTTATTATTTAAAATATTTATAAATAAATTCTTGAACACATTTTTAATATTTGTAGAAAAAGTCCTCTACCCTTCCCTTTTACCTTCCTGTCCTTCCTGCAAACCTTTTCTCTCCCCATACCCACAAACCCACCCCCTCAATAGGTAGGTCAGCGGTATATCAGGGTTCCCAACTCCACTTAGAAATAGAACCAAGGACCATCTGACCAACCCTTAGTAAATATTTTGTTGGGTGCTATCGTCATAGATCCATAGATCGTCTTCTGTCAGAAGTACCCAGACCTTAATCATTTCTTGTCCCATCTACACATAGCAAATAATATATACAAACAAACATATATGCCAAACACACAAAGAGTGACCATCAAATCAAAGATCAATCAAGCAACAAATAATCAGAAGGAAATTATTAAATCAATCAATCCCTTCCTTTGCCGGTAATGTGACCCAACCACAATGAGCTACTTTGCGTAATTGAATTGGGTCATCCTTCCTTTGCCACCCCAAGATTCATCATGAATCTCATACAAAGCATCTTATAGCTGTGTCAATTGTGGCGTTGATCATGATTATGATGCATGATCTCATTTTTTAAGTCTCCTTTCATCTTACCTCACCCCACTTATTAACACTTAACAATATATCCTCTATGACTCCCTTATAATAAGTCTCAGCTAAAATACAAAATTTGCTAAGTTCAATTCCCTAAGTTTGTTTTACATTAATCCTAGTACACCCTACTAAATTACTAAGTTATTGGCCTGATTCACTCATGGTTTTGGTGAGTCAAGAAAGGCTATTCTTTTCATTTCTCTCCCTCGACCTATTTTTTACATGCTAATAGGAGGCTACCCATAATCACTCCTAAAATCTAAGTTACCTCTTTTATTCTTATTTGTTGAAATTGATTCTTATACTCTTCCTAACTTTTTATGATTCTTTCCTAATTAGTCATTATTGTTAAGGTTGCAAGGGTTCTTGATTACTCTCTCTCTCTCTCTCTCTCTCTCTATATATATATATATATATATATATATATATATATTATTAAATAATATTCTCTTTGTGTATTATGATGGTAAAGTAAATCCTTACTTTTGCCCTCCATGCTCATGTTGCACAAAGTTCTCTTTTTAATTTGTTAACTTACTCTTTTTTCTTTTTTTTAATCATTATTTCTTTTCACTTAGCTAAATGTATTCTGCCGAGGCAACCATTTCAAATGCACAACTATTATGTCCAACCTATATCCCTTCTAAGTTTTATTGCCAAAAAGATTGATATACCAAGTTCTTTTTTGCACACGCACACCCATAATTATTTCAACACTTAATTCACCAAGCTAAGAACACAACATGCAAAGGAAGTTTTCACACATCCATCCAATATCACCAAGGTCCACATGCTGTAGACATCACATATGCTCTTTTGAACATCATCCGCATAATAAATCTCTACATGCAACAAGGAAAAAATGTTTCCCCACAAACCAACATAGCATGCAACAATTCGAGACTAAGAAAATGCTTTCCAAGCTCACATGCAAGGTAAAAATCCAACAAATCTCAACAAAAGGGACTCTCCCTTACTTGTAATAAAAATTTCCTTTTGGAAGAGAAAAGAGAGAAGATGGAGGCTGACACTATCCTTCCTTACAACAAGTGTATTAAGGTTTCTTAAAGGTGAAAGAAAAAGATAAGGGTTAGAGAAAATAAAGGTGAGGTAGCATGGACCAGCAAGGTGAGGAACCTCACCTTAGGATGTTCTTTAAGTTCCTTTCAATGAATGAAGTGGTCCAAGTGTGGTGGAGGTAGAGAGCTTCAAGGGTACAATTAGATAAGAGAGAAATTGGAAATGTTTTGGTTGGGATAAGAAGGGATTGAGAGTTATTTTGAGAGCATATCTCCCTTCTTTTTGTTTTCTAAGCTTTGCGTGAAAGTGACCAAGGAAATGAGGCAATTGAGATCTTTGTGAGGTGTGATTGTGAGTGCTTGTAGGATCTTTTCCTTCAAACACGACAAGTGTACCGAGTCTGTTGCAAGTAATAACCGGTGGAGCATCGGAATATCGTTCTCAGAGAGCAATTCAAATATATTAATTAATAAGATACAAATTAATTGAGTTTATATACAATAGAATTGGTAAATAATTTTTATGAAATATTAAACAACAATTAAAATGTAAAGCACTAAAGTAAAATATGGTAAAATTCAAGTTAAAAGTTGGGATTGAATTTTATCTATCTCTCCCTCTATATACTAGCAATCTAGTGATAAATATAGCAATCACTTCTAATGAATTTGATGCAAAACACGAAAGTCATATATTTCAATTCCTTGAAAATATATTCCTAAGATAATTTCTTAAATGTTGATTTCTCAAACAGTTAATAAACTATCCAGCATTAAAATTAGGATTTAAAAGCAATCAACAACTTGAAATCTATTCCTAGAACAACCAGTTATTGAGTAATCTCAATCAGATCTAGATCTAAATAATATCTTCTCAAATACAACTCAGATCTAAACTCTAGAAATTGTCAAATAATCAGATTCAACCATTAAAACGGATTGAGATCACTAAATCATTAGAAATGAAGAAGAAATAACTATATTTATATAGATTACTAAGAATACATCAGGTTTGAAGATTTACATT